TATTATTTTAAATTTTTAAATTTTAAATTGGAGTTTAAAAAAACTCTTTGTAGTGGTTTAACTTGATTATTGTAGATTTTAACTTTCTTTTTAGGGACTGTTCGTTGTTTAAATTTATTAGCGATTCGTTTCTAGAAATTATTTTGTTAAATAAATAGGGACCACGATGTTTTATTGAAAACTTTGAGAGTTTAGTTTTTTCAAAGGGTATCTTAAAGTTTCCCGTTGCTCTTGTATTGTACTTGTTTACGTTGTTTTCAAAAAAGTGTGCTGTAAAATGTTCTGGAACCAGACTTAGTTTATATTTAAACATGAAAAGTATATTTTGATAAATATTAATTTGAAAAATATTTAAAGCGTTCATTTGCTCCAGTAGGGGTTGAGCATGAGTAAGTTTGTTTTTGTTGAACACTAGCCTTGAAGCGTGCTTTTGACGCAGATAAAGCGGTTTTAATTTAGTTATGTGGGTACTGCCCCATGCTATATTGGCATACATAAGATAGCTATGTATAAATGAAAAATAAACGAGTATTAGACTTTTTTGTGTCAAGAAAGATCTTGCTTTATAAAGTAGACCTATGTTCTTTGATATTTTTGTATTTATATAGTTGATGTGGGGCTTCCAAGAGATGTGTTCATCAATTAGAACACCTAAAAACTTTGTGTTTTGAGCTCTTTCAATGGATATATTTTCTATAGTAATTGTTGGTAGGTTAAGGGGAAGCTTTTTAATTTGTTGAGTAGAGTGGAATAGAATATATTTAGTTTTATCTATATTGAGTGATAGTTTGTTTGATTTAAACCATATATTAATTTTTTTTAATTCATTATTTGTTTTTTTAAACAAGTCTTCAATAGACTTTGATGAGTAAAATAAGTTTGTATCATGTATGTATCAGATGACTCATCTAGTACATTACCATTCATAAATATAGGAAGATCTAAATTATTACGATAACGATTGGCCGAATAAAATTGAGTTTTATCTGAATTAAAGTTCACCAGCCACTGTGAGCCCCATGCTGTAGCAGAAGTGAGATCCTTTTCAAGCTCAGATACCCCCTCCAAGCAATCAGAGAGTGTAGGCTTCTTATCATGACAAGAGTAAATGGTAGTGTCGTCAGCGAATAATGCCACCTTAGATGTGAGAATATCTGGAAGATCGTTAATGTAAATTAAAAAGAGTATAGGGCCAAGGATTGAACCTTGAGGAACCCCTGAAGTTACAGGATGTGAAGAAGAGTGTTGTCCATCGAGGACAACTTTTATACTACGATTGGAAAGAAAGGACTCAATAATCTTAAAGACGTTACCAGCTACACCATAAGAAGAAAGCTTATGGAGAAGACCAGCATGCCAAACTTTATCGAAAGCTTTAGAAATGTCAAGTGCGATAGCCTTAACCTCTCCACCTCTATCTAATGCACGGTAAAACCTATCGGTTATTACTGTTAGCACATCAGCTGTAGAACGAGAAGACCGAAATCCATATTGATGATCAGAAAGTAAGTTATTTGATTCAAGATGAGAGATTAAGTGTTTGTTGATTAAAGATTCAAAAACCTTGCTTATGACAGGAAGAAGACTAATGGGACGGTAGTTAGATGAATCAGATCGCTCTCCGGAATTTTTGAAAATAGGGATAACAGATGCTGCTTTCCAGCATGATGGAAAATAAGGACTTGTTAAATAGTTTAGAAAGTATGGATGAAAGCTCCGGAGAACACCTCTGCAAGACTACAACAGGAATGTTGTCAGGACCACAAGCTGTTGAAGAGTCTAAGCAGGAAATTACTTTAGATACAGAAGCTGAAGTGATGCGAATGTCAAGCAAGGGATCAACCTGTTTGACGGCTATGTCAGGTAAAACGCAACTAGTGGAATCAAGAGATGATATTGATGAAAAGTTCTTAGCAAACAATTCAGCTTTGTCTTTAGGTGAGGTGACAAAGTCTGAACCATACAAGAGAGAAGGAATAACAGATTTGCCCTTATTATTGATACTGTTAAAGATTCTCCAGAAGTCTCGAGAGCCTAATTTTTGTGATGAGATACGAGATTTAATGACCTGGGAATAGCGAGCTTTGGCGTCAGACAAAACCTTTTTACAATGGTTTCTGGCGATAGTGACAGATGTCTGTTTTCTGGAGAACTGTTTTGCTGATAGATATGGAAGTAACGGTTTTGATTAGAAATTGCTGCAGCGCAATGTGAGAAAAACCAAGGAGAAGAGTGAGGCTTGACCTGGAATCGTCGAGAGGGAATAAAAGATTCCATGCCAGTCTGAATCCACGAAGTTATGTAAGAAGCACATTTGTCAGCAGGAAGACGAAAGATTTCTACCCAAGGGCTATCACGAAGAAAATCACGGAAAGAGTCCCAGTCAGCTTTAAGGTAGTTGTATGTGGTACGATGATAGGGGGATTCTGATGAAGTAGAAGAATTTGATAATAGTTTTAGAGAGATCAAACCGTGATCAGAAGTACCTAAGGGTGAATGTGGAGAAATTGAGCACTGACTAGGATCCAAAACAAGACATAAGTCGAGTAGAGAAGGTAAATGATTAGGGTTGTCCGGAAAACGAGTTGGAAAGTTGACTATTTGAGTTAGAGATTGAGAAAGGCAAAAGTTGAGGGCCTTAACGCCAGCAGAGTCACTGACACTAGAGCCAAGCCAATCGGTGTGATGGGCATTAAAGTCACCAACAACGACGATATTGGCCGATGGATACAGAGAGAGGGCTTGGTCAATTTGATCAGAAATAACATCAAGAATAGTGCAATCTTGGGATGAAGGAGAGCGATATAGAACAAAGAGAAAGGCGATTGAAAGAAGTTGTGCTAAACGAAAGCACATAAATGAATAGTCTGTAGATTCAAACCTAGTTTCACGACAAATGGGTGAGTTCTTACGAATGTAGATGTCCAGGCCAAGCATGTGATTATTGGAGTCTTTACGAATTAAAGGAAGATAACCATCAACACTAAGATCACAAGATGGGACAGCCGAACTCAAATTAGTCTCACAAAGAGCAAGTAGGTCTGGTGAACTTTGCAAGAGATAAGACTCAACAGAAGAAAAGTTACTTCGAAGACCACGAATATTAGTAAATGATAGGTTTAGAGAACTTGGTGATGACGATGGTTTTTTGTGTTTTTTAGTTTTAGGTACTTTAGTCATTTTAAATTTATAAAGAACTTGACTCAAGTATAGATAGTACTCAGTACACTATTTAACAACTAAGCAATAGCCTCATTACTATTAATAAACCCTAAGCCGTAACAAAGGGCTCCAAATGTGGCCTCTGCCTCAAATAATTTTAGAAAATTTTGATTTTTCTCATGAACGGAATTATTATATGTTCAAAAGTAAACTAAAAAAAGTAATTTTCTCAATTGAAAATATATTTATGTACTTTTAATTATACTTAGTTTTGTCATCACTCATTTATATTTTACTTTTATACAATATTGATTTAAAGTTTATGTGAGAAACTATATTTAAACACCATTATTTGAATTTTGTTAAAAGTTGCACTGACATTATTTGTAAAGTAGTCATTTATTATTTACATGTTTACTTTAATTTTTAATTTAATTCGTAATATTTGTAAATAATTTGTCTTACGAACGGTATATACTTTTAATATTGAATTTAATTTTATAATAAAAAACAATTTATATATATATATATATATATATATATATATATATATATATATATATATATATATATATATATATATATATATATATATATATACATATATATTTATATAAATTATAAAAAAAAAAAAATTGATTTATGTGAATCGATGTATCTGTAAATATTGTATGACACTTCTGAAAGTTAACCATCCTTTGACAGTGGTTTTGCATTTTTGTCGGTGGAAGCGTAAACGTAAACGCACCAACATTTGATAATTTTGGCTTTACACACAGTGACACCATCATTTGGCTTTCTAAATTCTTCTACACAATCTTTTGGGTTACCTTAAAGTGCATTTGGATGTACCTAGTACAATCATATTCTTATTATTAATATTTCATATTATTTTTAGCTTTATATATATATATATATATATATATATATATATATATATATATATATATATATATATATATATTACACATTTATATATACATTCATATATGTAATTTTGGGAAGAACCACGTCTGGTTTTTCCAAAAATTAGGTTTAATGTACAGGAATAACTTTCATAACTTTTATTTACCTTCATAACTTAAAATTTACAGTCATAAAACTGATCAACTCATTAATAAAAATTTCTAAAGGTCAGTGTAGATGTAATGGGTAATGATCTGTGATGGCTACCGACGATTAACACTAGCAGTATCGTAGTCATCAGAGTTGTTCTCTGTCTCACTTATTTCATCATGACTTGACGAAACTCGAATTTTTTTGGCATCACTTTCATGAGTTTCCCGCCCTCCAGCCCAATCTAAGGCATACCTTAGCCAGGATTTAATGCTTTGTTATATTTCGCCATCGGTTGCTTTCATAGTTTTGTGCAAATGAACAGCAACTAAAAAAAAAGAAACAAAAAAACAATTTAATAAAATTGCTTATTTTTTAAAAATACACTACTACAACACACATTTATCCAAAATAGTTTAAATAAATCTACCTTTGACGCAAACAACAATATTAAGGTCTTTGACGCCCATTTTGTGGCCACGTCCAGCCCAATTTAGCTTTGACGCAAGTTGCTGAGAAACTCAGAACATACAATTTTTAGTGATGACAAGTAAACGTTTTTTAAATTAACATAAATTAATTTAGTTTTTTAAATTAATATAAATTAATAAATTAGTTTTTTTGATCATTAACTCATTATCAAAAGCTGTTTACATAATATCATTATCAAAATCAAAATCATTATCAAAATTCATTATCAAAAGCTGTTTACATAATTTTAATCAAGTTTTTATAATTGAAATTACACATAAACTTATTAATTATAGTAGAAACCTATATTGATAATAAAGTAATAAACAAATTATTAATAGTAGAAAACAATATTATTATAACACTGTAAACCTGGCTTTGGCAAATCACTGGACACTGGTTCAATAAATTCATCATCATCAGAATCAACCCAATCAGAAAAAACTGTTTTACATTTTCGCTTAATTTGCTCAGGATTTTTTACATAATCTGAATCCAAAGCTGATGTATCTAATTCTGCACATGCCAAATTAGATCTAGCCTGTGCATACGTATCTGCATATAAAATTTATTATTTTATTTAATTCAAAAAATTAATTAAATATCATTTAAAATAATACTATTTAAAATAATTTATATTTTGTAAAAATGAACTAAATATAGTAACCATAACGATGCAAAACTCTAGCTTCAGTTAGACACTCCCAATCATCATTTGGGGGTTCTCTTTGCTTCACTGACATTTCTAGACGTGTAGCACGTAAATGGTTGGGCCAATAACATGTTTCAGGCTTCTCTCCGAGCCAGCAAACTGGTACAACTGCCACAGAATTCTCTATTTTAAAATGCAATATTGCAAAGCTCATCTGAAAGAAAAAATTAAGATATTTTTGTTAACACTTGAAATTAAGGAAAACAATTTATACTATAGTTTTTAAAAAGTTATATATAAAGCTAATTATAATTAAAAAAATGTTAGTAAGAAAAAAAAATTATGAATATATATATATATATATATATATATTACTCACAGAGAATTTTATAACCTACACAATGGAATAACATGAGTAGAACTCAGCTTATTTAAATATGCTAAAATATTCCTAGAAAATAAATACTTCTCAAATATAAATAGTTCACACTAGTAATAAATTATTCATCAGTAAATTTATAAACTAAACAATATTACTAATATAAAAACAAGAAAATATCTACTAATATTATTAATAGATATTTTCTAGTTTTTATGTAAATAAAAATATTTTATATTGTAAATGTATATAAAAATATGTATAATATGCAAAAAATAGTTAGGAATATCTACAATGTTTGCTTTTTTACAACTAATATAATAAAAAACCATATAATGCAATGCCGCCTTTTTAACTTAAATGGAGATTTGACGTTTGCAAAACGTTATTAGCTGACGTTGTTTTGATGTTGGCTTTTTGACCAATATCCAACCTATAATAAAAGCAGGACGACGTTAAACCAACGTTGGCGCGTTATCGGTATATTTTCTAAAGTTTTCGATGCTATAACAACGTTGGGCCAACGTATTGGTGCTATCTGGGATATCAAGCATCTTTTTGTTGTCTTATTTGTCATGATTTAAATAATACGAAGAATGTGTAAAAATAAATTCTTCCATGAACAAAAAATAACTTATATCTTAATATATTAGCACATTAAAACATTCACTTTTTGACCAATTAAGCCATGAATCTTTTATATATATATATATATATATATATATATATATATATATATATATATATATATATATATATATATATATATATATATATATATATATATATATATATATTATATATATATATATATATTGTTATTTAGGTGCCCCAAGAAGACCTAACGATCTTATAAAGCAAAGCGCTCTAACCATTGCGCCACGGCTGCACATCGGCTGCACACGGATGAATCTCGTTTACTTAACTGCATATTTTTAGTAAAGACTGAACCAAACGTAAAAATATTTCAGTCTACACGAAAGTCTTATAAATATTTCAGTCTACATCGCGTTGGGAGACTTGGCTAAAAAATAACGCACTGTATAAAAACGTTATTTCAATGTATATGGATTAACGTTGATCCAATATATCTAATCCAACGTTATTCCATACACATTAAACTAATGTTAGGTTATAAGCATGGGATCAACACTAATCTATATACAATCTATACAACACTAATCTATATACTATATATATTTATATTGGGTCAATGTGGAAATATACACATTAGGTCAACGTTGATCCATATACATCGGATCAACGTTCGAAAAAACAACCAACCATACATCAGATCAAAAAAACAACCAACTTTTACAATGTTTTTACGTACATTGGACCTATGTTTTTTTGTTAACTGTTTTTAATCATGTCGTTATAAAAATTCTCATTAATGCGATAAAACTAAGATCATTAATGCGATAAAACAGCGTTGATTGGATCGTTTTATTTGCATCGGAAAAAACATCCGACGTTTGCGATGTATTTACATTGACCCAAAGTAAGTGTGCTAGCTGGGTAATATTCCATTATTTATTGAAGACCAACCCATTTGGCCAGCTTAGCTGGAGACGGATCCATTTAAGGCTAAATAACAAATTAAACTAGAAATACAAAGAACTTTGTTGTATGTTGATTATAAATCTTTCTTAACTATAACTCTCATTTTAAGCTTTTAAATTACGACTTTTGCGTTTTCAATTATATATTAAGTTTCTTAATTACAACTTTCGTGTTCTTAATTACATCTTATGTTTCTTAATTGCAACTTTCATGTTCTCAATAACATCTTGAAAAGTTGTAGTACTTTACATATTTGCTTCGTCGTATACAACTGCTCATATGATTTGTCGTATACAACTAAACATAAATTTAAAATAAATGCTATATATTAAAAAGTATTTTTTTATTGAAAACAATTAAACACAAAATTTTATATTTTAATTTTATATGGTTGCTTCGTCGTAATCAATATTAATTAATTAATTAATAATCTTTATTAATAATGTATATAATAACAGTATGACAATTAGATATTTTTTATAAAAACGAAAAAAATTATATATATTTCAAAAATCGTTAAAACTGATTTTAATGTATTACCTCATTTTTGTGAATGGCTTGATCATGAAACTATTCTTGTTTTATTAGATTATTTGTTTTTTATTTACTATCTACTGTTCGAGAGACAAACATAAATTTATTATTTACAAATGTAATTATACTATTTACATACTGTTATTTCTCATTTAAGATATTTAATATCGTTAAATTTTTAAACAAGATTTTCTTTTCGTAATATATCAACATCCGTCGACGATACATAAAACGCTTTCCGCACTGGACTAAACGTTTGTAAATCGCAAGATCTTTTTTTTGTACGACTGTTGACTGAAGCCGCTGTTATTGGCAGCGTTTCATCGTCTGTCTCTCTCAGAAAATGAGCTCGAATTTCTTTTCGTTCGATTTGACGTTTATGGTATTTGTTCCGAATAAAAAGCACAACAATAAATATTAAAACAATGATAAGACTGCACGTACCAACAACAATCCACATAAAGTTACTTGATTTGCTCTTATAACTTTCCTCGCTAAAATACTGCAAAAAATAATTTAAAAATGTTTATCAAACAAAAAGTTTGTTCAGATAATAACACGAACTCATTGTCTCGATGAATTCGATTATAAACATGTAATAAGTAGATGTAAATTTCAATTAAAATTAAGTTACTTTTTTAATATTAATTTGCAAATTTAGTGGGCAGTCTCCATTCCAACTCGCATGTTAAGTTGGATAGCGACAGATTATTGGAATCCCCTTCCTCTCTCAAACGGGTTTGAGAGAGGAAGGGGATAAGATCATTTATAAAACCGTTGTATAAAACTTTGAATTATTACTATATTTATAATAATATATTTATAATATGTATAAATTTTTATATTTTAAAATTGGTTTCACTCCTATTATCAGACTTCTGTATAAGTGACACCACCCTAATAAATCATTAACTTATTATTTTATATAATTATCAATTATATATTAATATATTTACAATATTTTATATAATTATTAAAAAAAATAATTTATAGCATTATATTTTTTTTGAATTAAGTAACCCGGTTTTTGTCATTTTTATTAAAACGATGCAATTAGGTATTCATTTAAAATTATAGTTTATTATTTATTTTATTTTTTATTTAGTTTACTATTTATTTTAATTCTTGTTTTAATAAATTTCAAACAAATATTTTAGCTTTTAAAAATCCTTTTAAATTTATTTTATAAAAATTTTAACGTAATAGTAATTTTATTGCTTATAGAAACCAGTACTTTTTTATTACAAGTTACGTAACGTTTTTCATAACTTCGTTTTCGCGCTAAAAATTTTCACTATAAAAAGTGTTTATAAATTCCGAGAAAAAGTTTAAAAAGGTTTATAAAAGAAAAAAAAAATACATATTTTTATAAATGTAATTACATATTATATTCTTTGATATTTAGAATAAAATGGGTTTATTGTAAACATTATTAATTTGTTACTTTATTTAATAAAATAATCAGTAAACTCAATAATTAATGTATTATATCAGTAAACTCATTATATCAGTAAAATCATTATATCAGTAAAATCAGTAAACTCAATAATTAATGTAATATATTTACATCGTAATTTATGTATTTAATAATTTTGTATTTTTATTATACATTTCTATTATATACTCAATTATGTATTTAATAACTTACAAAGCATTTTGCATAGCGCAGTAATTTTTAAAAAACGTAATATCAGGGGTGTGGAGACGTAAAAAAAAAGTACCAACTCCGATTCCAATCGTTCAACTCCGAACCAAAGCTAAATTTTTGAAAAATTCTTTGAATTCTTTAAAAAATAATACGTGGTAATTTAAATTTTTTTTTTGCCAAATATAAAAAAAAATCTTTGAAGGTAAAATATTTTGTACATGCACCTGCAATGCAGTTGGTATTGCACGTGCATGTAACTGTGGAATGCAAGAAACGAACTTGAGTCAAGTTCGACTTGAACTTTACGTTGTAACCAATAGCGGCAGAGTATTTTTTGAGGAAAACCCATACACTGCCGCTATTGGTTACAATGTAAAGTTTAAGTCGAACTTGACTCAAGTTCGCTTCTTGCATTCCACCCTTGGAGTCGCGATTTTGTTTAGCGACTCCGACTCCGCTAAAAATGTCACGACTCCACAGCCCTGCGTAATATGAATATATTTTCATTTTCAAATTTTAGTTTTTTGAGAATAGATTTTTTCTTTTTCTTTAAGATTTTCTTTTTGTTAGATTTTATCTTACAACTTTTTTTTTTTATTTTCAGCGCATTTTGAAACGACTAGAGTTGTCAAAACAAATCGCGTGGTCAAGTTGTAAAAACAAAATATCACATGCGTGATGAGGAATGGCGTACGATCGCACTTCATTAATTTTTATTGGACATGTCCGGCAAACTTGAGTCATCATCGGACAAATCGTCCGATACAAAAAAATTTCGTTATTTCGAGCCCTAGTTATAATATATTATAACAACAATATAAATATTAAAAAATATTTTTACCTATTGATATCTTTATATTAGAAAGAATACCTTGGGCGTTGTTTCTTCCTTTTTCAATGTAATTTGCAAAGATAAATTGTGAAAAGAAGAATTATATTCTGAAGTTTCAATAGATGGTAAACTTGGAAAAGACGTATCGTAACCTAAGCAACAGAAGATAAAAATTTAAATATTTTTTATTGAAAATATGACGATTAATAAAGGAACAAAACAAATTATAAATATTACTAATTCTTATTAAAATCTTTTGAGAAACTTTTTTATTTTTGACTTTTAAAAAACCTTTATTTAGTATAATAATTGAGGGTCGAAATAGTAGCAACCCCTAAAAATAATTTAAAAACTTAATCATTTTTTTTATTGACGAATTTAGGGGTATCCACAAACATTATTACAAATAGATGAACAATCCTATTTTACAACTATCTGTTTGATAGCAAGATAGTGTGGTTCATCTGTGGTCAGGGCCGGCGCGAGTAGGTGTCACGTGGAGGGGGGGGGTGCCATTACATTTTGCCCACTAAAAAAAAAAAAAAAAAAATCCTCGTTATCCAAAATTTGCCGACTGCCATGACGACATTTGCCGACTGTCTAGATTACCGACTAACCTATATCGAAAGGGTCGACATTTGCCGACTAACTAGTCTAAAAGGGTCCAATTTGCCGACTAACGGTCCAATTTGCCGACTAAAAATTATTGATGGGGGGGGGGGGAGGGGTGTCACCCCCCTATCGCGCCGGCCTTGTCTGTGGTACCTATCCTTTAAAAAAAAACCAACTTGAATTGAATGCTGGTGAACATCCTTCTTTTACATTTGACATATATTCAATATCACCATAATTATTTGCTTCTTTTTCAACTAAGTTGACCTAAAAACATGTAACTTTTTTTTAATGTTTTTCAAATTATATGTAACATTTAAAAAAAACAAAAAAACAAATAACAATATTCTATTTTAATTTTATTTTAGTTGATAAATTTACAATAAAATCATCCGGAATATCTCATCCTTATATCAAAATTTATTCATTTTTACTTATTTTGCAGTCCATAATAAATATATAGAAAACTTGAACTAAAAAAAATTAGCAGCACATGAGATATTGTCAGTTAAAACTGACAACATTTTATGTCAGAATTTTTATAATAATACAAAACATAGAAATTTGAAAATTTAATATTATAATAATGCTCTTTCTAAAAATAGCACCCCTACACACCCCAAAAAATTTTAAAATAAAAATTACACCCCTACATATTTTTGCTAAAGGAACTTAATAACAGCACTATTAGGCATTGATAGTCATAAATTATTAAACTTAATGAAAAATATAGATACATATACTATAGATTTCTGAAGCTAAATAGTCACTCAAAACCTTTGAGAAAAAGTCTAACTTTGTATCATTTATCTTAGATCTTTCATAGAAGAAAAAAAAAATTGTTTGTTACAGTACACAATTGAACATGTTTTTAGCATTTTTAAAGAATAAATTTTAAAACATTTAAAACATTAAAACGCAACTTAAGAGCAATTTTTTGATAAAACCAGGCATAAGTATTGTTGGCTCAAAAGTGATATTCTTCAATCACGTTAATTTTTTATGTAGTAATGCTGATACGGTAAAAAAGAAGCCTGTAATTTTTTTTTCTAAATATTCGTAGTTCCTGAATTATGGTCGGTCAAACTTTTGATCTTTTAACAATTGAAAAGTCATTATTAGGATTTTGTGACATTTAAACTAAATTTAAAGGCAATGAGACATCTGTATCTTACGTTTACAATGGGATATTTTTTGCAAAAATAATAAAATACCCTGTGGGAACCTTTTATGTTTTGAGATGAATGTATTTAAAGTAAATTCAAAAATGTGTGATTTCAGCTCATACTTTTTAGACTAAGAAAAGGTTTTCCTCAGTTTTTTTAAATATATTTTTTTAAAAGTTCTACATATAAGTTCCTTAATATAAAAAGAAACTTAGGATACAGATGTCTCATTGCCTTTAAATTTAGTTTAAAAGTCACAAAATCCTTTTAATTACTTTTCAAATGTTAGAAGATCAAAAGTTTGTTCGACCATAACTCAGGAACTACGAATATTTAGAAAAAAAAAATTGCCTGATTTTTTCAGAAAATAAAATCATTTGATTTAATGCTTTTAAATAATTCATTTTTTCTAGATTTTAAAGTTTTAAAACTTTTAGTTTTCATTGACTGGTTTAAAATTATTTAGTGAAATCAAAAAAAAAAAAATAATAATGATAAAAAAAATAAAAGAATACATTTTTCACATTTAATTCTTTATTTTCCAAGTTTGTTAAAAGAAAGACAAAATAATATATAGTTAAAAAATATCCAAATTATTATTAATATATATAAAAGATTAAAATGACAATTTTTGTCTTTGGCAGAGTAAAAAATAAGACTCAAAAAGCTTTTTAACTTTAATAACAAAATAAAATATATTTAATACATCTTTTTAAACATAAATGTTATATTTTGGTATTAGTTTTATCTAAATAAATTTAAGTTTTTATCATTTCTTTACTTAAAATATTGTAATGAAATTTCACAATAAAGCTTCATGTTAAACTTTGGAAAAATTATCATCATTATGATGATGATAAATTTTGTCGTTGGCAGAGTCAAAAATAAGACTCAAAAATCTTTTTAATTATAATAATCATTATCATCATCAAATTCATTATTATCATTGCCTTTGTTTTGTCTTCATCACTGTCGTTGCTTTGGTTATCATCATTGCCGTTGTTGCCTTTGTCATCATCATCATTACCATCAACATCATTATTATATCATCATCATCATCTTCATCATTGTCGTTGCCTTGGTTATCATCATCATATCATCATTATCATCATCATCATCATCATCATCATCATCATCATCATCATCATCATCATTATCATCATCATTATCATCAAAATTGTTTTCAAATAATCTTCTATACTCACTATCTTGTTTTAATTTTTCTGATTCATGCCCCTCAATTGTAGCCTCCTTTATTTTACTTTAACATCTCATAATATTCAATCTAACCCGTTACTACAAATTTTTTATCTCAAAATTCTTTTGTTTTTGTTTTTTTCAAAATTTTATTGTTTTTAAAGAAAAAAAAAATCTTTAGTTCAAAAAAAATTAAAGTGAATACTTTTGAAAATACCAACACCTAATCCTCTATATAAGTATATTAATAATATTTTGAATAATAAATATATTAATAATATTTTGAATAATAATAAGTATATTAATAATACTTTGAATATCTTAAAAGCATCTTAAAAGAAATTCAAGAAACTGTTTTAAATATTTAAACCTTAAAAGTTTAAAAGCAAATTTATCCTACATATTAATTGATTGTGAAGCAATTAATAGTTAAATAATTAAATGATAGTGAAATATGATTTGCAATGGCAACAGTTATATTTAAAAACAAATTAAAGATCTTTCAAACGAATAGAAAATAGAAAATATAGTCACGGCTGTTTCACTCAATTTAACAACGAGCGTGACGTCATGAGTTTATCAAAAAAAAAAGTATTTCCGCATAAAAAGTATAAAAATTCACAAACTTTAAATTAATAGTAACTTTTTTATATAAATGCTTTCATCTTGCAATTAAAAAAATATAAAAGATCTATCTTTCTTTGTTAAATAAATATTTACATTAATTGGTATAAAAATAAATATTGCCAAAATATTTTTTATAATTTAGAACCACTTTTTAATTTTCGCATATTTTCCGGAAAACATGAGTTGGGCCAACTAAGATTTCAAAAAGACTGTTTTTAAAGCATTTATATTTTTTAATTGATCGTTTTTAAATGCAAAACGTAACTTTTTTGATGGATGACGTAAGTTAATGAAATTTCAACCTTTTATGCAAATGAAAATAAAAAAGTTATTTTACGTGCCTTCAGCTATGTTATGAAATATGTTTTCAAAAATGTCATGTTTTACAACTAATCTTGTTAGTTTTAGGCGTACATTTGTGCTGACGTTTTTTTGCGATGACGTAACCTTTATGCGTTACGTCCCAAACTATTTATTAACGAATATTCTTTAAACAACTGTTTCGGCGAGTCAATTTTTGAAACAAATTTACGCGGAATTTTTCTCTTTGGATTATCAAACTAATATCAGATAAATTGTTAAATCCACTTTTATCTAGTGCATATATTTATTAATTAATATTATTTTATTTGTTTTTATTATATTGATTAATAAGTCAATATTATTTTCATAACTATGTATTCAACTGAGGGGGAAATTCTAAAACAACATATTGGGTGGAAAAATGGTTGGGAAGATAGGTGTAACTTTCCTTTTGTTAAGCGATTAATTAGGACAGATAAGATCAGTAACAATGTGATTTCCATTTTAATGACAGTCTTTAAAATAAGAAGTGATTTATTTAGTTTTATGAGTTTTCTTTTGCCAATTGATTTTGATATGATATCTGCTCATGCCAAAAATGTAAGGTTGCTAAAAAAAAATTAATATTGAAAAAAAAATTGCAAAAATTAGTGATTTAAGCCAGAACAGTTGCCAAATTTGCAAACGTTTTGCTAGTAGCGATAAGGATTTAGTTGTGGTTGATTCTTATTTAGACTACGACAACATTGGTTCCCCTGAATTATTTTGTGGGTTTAAATTAAGTAATCCACAGAATATATCAGTTAAAAAACCAATAATTAGTAAAAAATATACTTACATTAAGTTAGGAAATGGTAAACCTTATTCTAAGTTGGGTAGGCATGCTGCAGCTAGACGATCTAAACTTGCTTTTATATTCCTTCGATTATTAGCTTGTTCAGATTTAGAAAGTGATTTGTCTATGTTGTTTTGTGATTCTATGTCTTGTAAAAAGTCAATATTTTGTTGTGTTGCAAATAAGTTGGGTTTAGTTAAGCAGTTAAGTGTTTCTGATGCTGTAGAGCTACATAGCCAATTAAGGATGCCCACGGCTGAATTCCGTAGACTAAGACGTATTCTGTGTAATCTTGGTGCAAGGATTCACCCATCTGAGCCCAAGATAAGACAAGAACAAGAAATGCAGACAATGCATGTCAATAAAGAACATGTCACTGTGAAGTCCATGTTACTTTATCCATCTGCAAATGAAGCACCTTGTTTATTATCTGTACTGATGGTCAAGAATTTGACAACTTATATTGAAGAGGTTTTTAATAATCTTTATGTACGCGACCACCTTAATTCAGATGTCGGTTTTGGCGAAGAAGTATGGCTCCTTTTTGCTGGTGATAAGGGTGGGAAGTATATGAAATTCCATTTTGAAGTTGTCAATTCTAAATCATCAGGGTCTGTATACGATGTTCACTTGTTTTGTATGTATCAGGGTTCAGACTGTCGTGAGAATAGTTCTCGGGCATTTTGCCAACGACATTAAAAGAATTCAGTCGTCTGATTTTAAGCTAAAAGGCAAAATAGTGAGGTTGTTCTTAGGTATAGATTTTCATTTTATCGATGATGTTGTGGGACACCAGGGTTCAGCTGCTAGCTTTCATCAATATATAAATTTATTTGCTATTGAGTTTCATACATGCTTTCCGAATGAAAGTATCACACGAAAAAATGCATGAACTTATTTTTAATGTGCCACTATTTGTAAAATTCCATAAAACTATTGGGTTGCTAAGTGAAGAGGAGGGAGAGTGTTTGCATAATAGCGTAAATAAGGAATTAAGACAGTTGCATTCAGTAAGAAATCAGGAGCAGAAGCTGCATCTTGTTTTAAAACGCTTTGAATTGCACAGCAAAACTGATAGGAAGCTTCACGCTTCTAAGGTGAGAAAGTGTGTTGTGTGTTCTGAGTGTGGCGAAAATTCATTTTATAGACAAGGTCTTTGACTTGTTTGTGGTCATCAAATTTAGTTAAAATATTTAAAAAATTAAAAACAACATCAACAAAAAAAAACTATTTACAAGTAAGATAAATTATATGAGATCTTTAATTTATATATAAGATAATTTTATTCTGTTCTAATATCTGTGTAATGTTAGTTTAAAATATTATTTTTTAATATATTGATTTTTTATATTAGGTAGGTGCCCATTCTGTTCCTATCTTCAGAAGTTATTTATACCTATGCAATACCTTCGCTCAGGTTAAAGAATGGAATACTAGTCTTGCATCAAATGTATGTAAAAATCTAGCTTTTATATATTAACTTGTGATCAGAGCAACTGGTATGTTGGTTGGGTATCATCTTGTATGTTTGTGTATTTAATTTAAAAAATGTATTGTCCTTCATTATATGTAACATTTTTATATAGATATTTTACATATCCATTTGATGTTTATCACCAGAAGTTAGTTCTACCTTTGCAGTACCTCTGCTCTACATACCTCCTCGCTGGTTAAAGAATGGAATATAAATCTCATATCAAGTTGGTGTAAAAATTTAGTTCAATAAATTAAGAATTTGTAAACGTTATCAAAATTTTGAGTGGAGCAATTGTTTTTCTGGTTTAGCATGAGTATGAATCTGATATCAATTGGATGTACAAAGATAGTTTACTACTTAAAGAACCTATCAGTAAACCAACTGATTATAAAACAGTTTTTAATGGGAATAAAAACAAATTTTCAAAAGATTTCAATTAGCTATTTGTATATTCAAACACTTTATTTACTGAGAGAAAAGATTAGATTCAAGTATATAAAATAATTCTACTACCAAAAGCGAGGTTAATTCAAAAATTTAAACTCAAGTTTGGTCATGAATTATTTTATTAGACTTGGTGAGTCTTTATTTATTAACAACCATTATATTAGAACTGTATGCACAGAAAAAAATAAATGCCTAAGCTTTAAATGTTTTGACTAAATATTCCAAAATCGAAATCTGGCTTTATTTTGCAATGCAATGAATTTATTGGCTTAGGAAAATAAGTTTCTAAAACAAGAACTCCTAGCTTTAAAAATGTACTCTTTGAACAGCTAATCCCCCTTTTAACTACATTTTTCATAACTTTGCGAAAAGTGCGGTTTGCTTTCAGACCTCAATAAAGTCTGTGTTAGCTATCCTTAAACAATTAAGTAAGGTTTTTTTGTTTTTATAATAGTCAAACAATGGGTATATTTGAGAATAACTATCAGAAATAAATTTTTCTGATTTTTTTTTGATAAAAAGTAACATCAAATTACTTGAATTCAGCCAACTTCATCATTTGTCGCGTTTTTTTTAAACTTAAAGAAGTTTTTTTACTAATGCATTAAATGTCGTAAGATGAAACATTTATTGGTGTTTTTATTCTTTTTACAAAACAAAATTATCTTTAATATTTTAAAAGTTATAGAAGTTTTAGTAACACCCCTTAAGTCAATATTTTCAAAAAATAACAAGAAGCCGTTAAGCTCGGTTTGAAACAGCCGTGTAGTGCATAATTTTACAGATTTGTAACATGCTTTGAAAGATTTATATAAGGTAGAATTCTTTTTCATTGAAAAGAAAAAAAAACTAAAAAAAAAAAATAATAACATTAAAAAAAAAAAAAATTAATATCCAACGGAAATTTTATATCAACTTTTATATTATCAAGTTATCAATCTTATCTATTTTATTAAAATTTTTTAAGGTCAAAATAAAAATGTCACTTTACAGCAAAATACAGACATGTATTGTAGAAAACTTAAAGAAAAAACAAACAACTAAGGACTAAATGGATCACAATTTAATTTCATTTAAAGACCATTTGACAAATATTTTTTTAAATTTATTTATGCTATATTTTTTTTTTATACTTATTATATTTTGCAAATAAGATAAAATGAACAAATATTGATAATTATAAATATTTTCAGATGATTTTATAAAAAATCTGTTTTAAAAAGAATTTTTTTTAATATAATTAAACCTGGGAAATAATTATGTCTTGCATGCATCCCTTGAAACTGGTTTGGCTACGAGACTCTGTAAGAGCTTGAGGTCCTCCAATGAAAATATCTGTTAAGTCATTCCCCACATCGAAAATTTGATGCATTTCTTTTGTATAACTTCTTATTGAAATACTATACATAAAATATGAATTTTTCTAAATTTGCAGTTTACTTTATTACCATCAAAAGTGCAAAAAAATACACATATTAAAAAAGTAAGTCAATACAGTAAGTCAATACAGTTAAAATTTAGTAAATTTTATTAAAAAAGTAAGTCAATACAGTAAGTCAATACAGTTAAAAAAGTAAGTCAATACAGTTAAAATTTATAAAATAAAAAAACATTTCTTATTTATTGAATTATATTGATACAAGTTATAAGATAGTAATTTTATAACTTTTATATCTTACAAACTGATACACTACCTTTTATTAATGGATTATTACTAGATAAATGAAGTATTAAAACCTTTAAAGTAAAATTATGTTACTTAGGTTGTTAGAAGAGATTGTAGAACTTGATCTGTAAAGTAACAAAAAGACAGGAAATACTTAAATATTTATATATCATCTTAAACTGTACTTAATCATGAACATTTTAACTTGATGAAATATTTGAATGTGTATTGAAAAAATTATTTGAACTTCATTAAACCCGTTTTAAAAATTTAAAATGCAAAATTTTAATATCAAGTATTAAAACCCTTAGTTAAATTAAAATAAACTCTTATTTTTTTTAATAGAGGAGTTCTACAAACTTTCCTAACATCCTAAGTGTATATATATATATATAATATATATATATATATATATATATATATATATATATATATATATCATGCATCCTAAATAGTGCATTATTACCACATCATATGTGATTGTTCTGTAAGCATACCCTTGAAGTGAGATGACCAAGAATGTAGGGTATAAAATTAGTATAAAGAGGCTGGTGAAAAAAAAAACCTAAAATAAATTATATAAGATTATTTTTTATTCACAATGATTTAGATCACAATGATTAAGATAGTTAAATATGATAAATTATAAAAATATTTCATTTGTTTATTGTTGATGGTCTTATTATTATTTTTTTTATTTATTGATTTTTTTGTTAACGCTTTAAAATTATAATACTAATGTGATTATATTTCTATAATCATTTAATTATAGAGGAAGAAATGGATGGTAAAACTTTAGTGTCCCTAACAGAGTCAATGAAATCAATTTTATGCCAGACAATGCGTAAACAAGCCATGCTAATGGAGATTATTCACAATCTTTTTACTCCATCTGCACCACAACCAACCAATTTTAAGTAAGCTAACATCTTAATTATTATTATTTTGAATTAAGTAGAAATTTCTAAATTATTTTTTGGAACTTGTAATTGATATACAAACACTTGTTGCTAGTTCATACGTTGTTGTAATTACTTGTCTAATTAATCTTGATTTGATTATAATAAAATTTATAAATAACAATAATATTTTAGCAGTTTAGAATCTGTTGTAAACGTCTCACAACCAATGGCACATTGTGATGGTTTGAATAACTTTGAGTTAATTAGAACAATGAAGCCATGGCCAATGCACTATCAAGTTCCTATTTTGCCTCTATCAGTTAATGCAGCACTAGATGCCAAAGATGGTTGCTTCCTTCAGTTTCATAGCAACATTGTAGAGAAACCTGTTTATTTGATAATATAAGTAAATATACCATGTAAGCATCATGTTTTTTGTTTAAAATTCACATATTTTGCAACTACATTTAATTTTTGTAAATATTCAAGATTTTTCTCTAGGTATCCCTCTAGTAAACAATATTCTGGTGTGCTTGCAGCCATTTGCAGTAAATATCCCAACTTAAAAGTCTTTCCATCTAGAAAAAGTTCTTCTCTACAACTGTTTGGTATCGAGTTTTTTTTTTTAGTTTTTAGTTGTGTATATACACAGGGGTGTGGAGTCGTAAAAAAAAAGTACTGACTCAGACTCTGATTGTTGAAATTTTCAGAGTACGGCTGCAATTCCAACCCTGACTCCAGAGCAAAATTTTATAGCCATTATATGAAAAGTTCTTTGAAGGTTAAATATTTTGTACATGCACATGCATACAGAAAAGTTTTACTGTCGGAGTTGAGATTTTGTTTAGCAACTCCGACTCCGTTAAAAATGTTGCGAGTCTACATCCAACTCCACGACTTCGGTTCTGACTCTACAGCCCTGTATACATACTCTACAGCCCTGTATACATACAAATACAAATATATACACATACAAATATATACACACACATAGATTTATGAATATACATTTTTTTAATGAATAAAATGTTTTTTTTTCTTTTTAAATGTCTATGTTATTTCATATCAAATGACAGCCATCACTACTAAAAAGTTGAAAAAACAAATTCAAGAAAGAGCAAGCCTTTCTAATACATTTATATGTTGATGCTGAGCACAAGAGAAAATTCAACCAAAGCAAGATGCAGATATTCAATCCAGTACTAGAAAAGTTAGAGCTTTGGTAAGATTATAAAAAATATATTTGATATACGATTATACTACTTTCTCGTTTTATATTCAATTAGTTTGTTATAACCAATAACAAGTAAATTTTCTTTATCAGCAAAATTTTAATATTTTTAAGCCAACGGCACTGTTTACAGGAGAGGATGAAGCTACTGTGGCCAAACATCACCTTGACATGAAATCTGAGTATAATAAACTCTGCCCTGACATCAATATGCTGCTTGATCCGCAAGCTGCTGATCAGCATCGCAGCTGGTCAACTAGAGTGAATTTAATTGCACTGTTGCACAGTGGGCCAGAGTTTAGCAAAAAGGTCAAAACCAAAGATCATATATTGACTTTAATAATTTTAGGATGCTTCAAAGTAAACTTTTTATGATGCTTCAAAGTAAAAAAGTTGTTAAAATATGTGTGAAAAACATAAAAATATGCAAATACTGGGAATATGCCTGTGACATTTAGAAACAATCTATCCTTATGAAATTTGAAAACATTTATATGTATTTACCTATATTTAATAATTATTTAAAAAAATAGAGTTTTTTTAATTTTTTAGCAGATTTTTTTTACATTATTAGGACATATTTTTTACGATTTTTCATGTGAAAAAAATTTTGCCACACGTAATACTTTACCACACATAATAGATTTACCACATGTTATAATACATTAAGATGAAACAAATTAAAATGCATACTTTATTACTTTAACTAACACTTTATAACAAGATTTTCAGCCCCCACTTGCCTCACCGCTTGCCGCATATTGTCAAAAGTTGACTTGACCAAACTTTGAACATTTAACAAAAAAATTAGTTTACAAAAGTATATATGTAACCTACTTAACATTTTTTATTCAAGTCATTGTTTGTAGTAATTAAATAAATAATAAACACCCGCTACCAATGTGTTGATCAATTAATTTTAATTGACCACAAGTTGTTGCAGCATTGAACACAAACCGTAACAGCGTGCTGTAACGGTTTGTGGTCAAAATAAATAAACTATAAAACCCACTTTTAATAATTAAAATTGAAAAAATTTAAATGACACTTTCAACATGATGAAGCGGCAAGATTTGTATTCAAACTTTTAGAGGTCAAGTGGGAAAAAAAGATTAACAGTATAGTAAATATCGAGGCTGACAATATTTTGAAGGGTTTGAATACATCAGATGAGATTTAAAGAGATTTTATGAATGATCTTAGAAGGAAATGGAGGTAGAAAAAAAGAACTAGGACACAGTTTGAAGCTAAATACCAGAACTGGTTAGATTGCGATGTCAATCCTGTAGCGAGTATTCAACCTTCAGATCACCTGTTAATCCTGGTAATTAAATAATAATAAATGTATATAATAATCATTTAGTGTTATATGTCTTCTATGCAAATGTAATGTTGTCAACGCCAATATTTGAATGTTATATTTATTATGTCAATATTTTAATGTTTACAGTTTTCTTTAACATGAATAGATTGGAAGTCGTATGAAACTATGCTTCAAAAATATTTCAACGACTACCACTCTTTTTGAGCCAGACTAATTTATTCAAATTCTTTTAAAGTCTAGAGTATAAAAAAATTGCCAAGCGTTTGTACATCATATTGTCTTATCTATCGAAGAGGTATACCCTAAGGTTCTAGAGACCTATTGCAAGGAGACAGCCAAACACTTTGTTTATCTATACCTCTGGTATTATATGCCGCAGGGTTTACACAAACTGTTAATACACTCTCACCAGGTAGTTCACAACAAAAGCTTACCTATTGGTATGTTTTCTGAAGAAGTACAGGAAAGCAGAAACAAAGATGTAAAAAACTTCAGAGAATTGTTTACACTTAAAATTTGTAGAAAAAAACAAAACCTGGATTTAATGAGAAGACTTCTGTGTGGCTCACATTCAGCTTGCTGCAGAGTAGAAAAAAAATAGAATTGCTTTTTCCTGAAGAAGTTAAACTTCTACTTGTATTAACTTGCTTTATTTGTATGATTTCACAATTCAAAACATTTTTATTTTTTTATATGGGATGCTAGTTAAATGTTTTGACCTTTAAAAACAATATAGTTACAATAGCACAAATTAAATTTATTTGTTGTTACAAATTAACACTTTCAGACAATGCGCAAACTCCAAATTTAAGTATATTTATGCTAATGTCAAATGATAATACTTTCCAAAAAATTACAGTGATTGGAGCCTGGGAACAAAAATAATCCAAAATGTAATTTACTTTTAGGGGTATTTTTGTTCCCAAGCTCAGTTTAGAGTGGTTAAAACCTAATTTTGATGTCAGAAATCAATTCTCTGACCCCAAAAACATATGATAAGATGTATAATATGATAATATTTAGACATTTTCTATTTTTGCTAATTTTTGTTATATTCTGTGTGTTGATATAAAAGCTATTTATACTTGGCCATCGATTGCTAGATTGGTTGGCTTTTAAGCTTATTTTAATTTTTATTTAGATTTAAAAAATAATTACTAATCTTTGATACCTGACATTTATTGCAAAAATAAATATAATTTTTATTTAAAGTTTGTAAATGAAATGAAGTTAAGACTTGGCAAAGCCTTGACAAACATACTACACCAACATGTTTT